TATAAATGGATGTTCAGCATCACTAATCGTTAGGTAAATGCAAATCAAAAGCATGAGATACCACTTCACACCCATTAAGATGGCCATTATATAGAGCCAGATGTGGTGGCTCATACCTGTAATCCCAGCATTTTTGGAAGGCCAAGGAGGAAGGATGGCTTAAAGGCAGAAATTCAACACCAGCCCTGACAATATAGCAAGACTTTGTCTCTACATAAATAAAAATGGAAAAATTAGCTGGGTGTGGTGGCACATGCCTTTAGTCCCAGCTACTCAGGAGACTAAGACAGGAGGATCACTTGAGCCCAGCAGTTTAAGGCTGCAGTGAGCTATGATCTTGTGCCACTGCACTCTAGCCTAGGTGACAGAGTCTTTGTATAGAAAAAGAAGAAAGGAAGGAAAGAAGGAAGGAAGGAGGTGAAAAGAAAAGAACAGAGAAAAGAAAAGATGGGCATGAAATAAATATCCAGCAATTTCATTACTGGTTATATATTCAAAGGAAGTGAAAACAGTTGGAGAGACATCTGTTCTCCCATATTTATTGCAGTACTAGTCACAAGAGGCAAGATAAGGAATCAACCTAAATACCTATCTACAGATGAAGGAATAAAATGTTATATATATGTTTTATATATATATATATATACACACACAAACACAGATAATATATAAACTATTCATGTATTATATATAATATATATATACACATATATGAAAACAATAGAATACTATTCAACCATAAAACAGAATGTAATTCTGTCATTTGTGGCAACATGGATTAACCTGGAGGACATTATATTAAGTGAAATAAGACAAACACTGCATGATCTCGCTTAGATTTGGAATCTTAAAAAGTTGATTTAACAGAAGTAAAGACTAGACTAGTGGCTGGGGATAGTAGGGAGGATTGAAAATATTGGCCAATGGGTATAAAATTATAGAGAGAAAGAGTAAGTTCTGACTTCTTATAGACAGTAAGAATAAGTTCTTACAGTAGCATGACTATAGCAATAACAATGTAGTGTGTATTTCAAGATGACTACAAAAGAAAATTTTGAATGTCACTACAAAGAAATGATAAATGTTTACAAAGTGATGAATGTGGTGATTTTCATGATTTGATCATTAGACAATGTATACATGCATTGAAACATCACACTGTACCCCATAAATATGTACTATTAGCATGTGTCAACTGTAAGTTAGAAATTAAAAAACAAAGGGAAAATAATTACTCCCCCTTTTCCCCTGTTGGTTGGTATTGATGGAGATGAGGAGAAATTGGAACCCTTGTACACTGCTAGTTGAGATGTAAGATGGTACAACCAATGTGAAAAAAGTTTGGCATTTTCTTAAAAGGTTAAACATAGAACTTCCATATGACCCAGGAATGTTGCTCTTAGGTACATATCCAAAAAACTGAAAGCAGGGACTGGAGCAGATATTTTTATAGCAAAGTTTATAACAGCATTATTCACAATATTCAAAAGGCAGAAATATCTGTGTCTATTAACAAATTAATGGCTAAACAAAATGGGGTATATACACAAAATGAAATTTTATTTAGCCATAAAAGGAATGAAATTTTGATATATGCTACAACATAGATTAATCCTGAAAATATTATGCTTACTCAAATAAGCCAGTTAGAGAAGGACAAATTTTGTAATAGTCCACTTATATGAGGTTTCTAGGAGAGGCAAATTCATAATACAGAAAGCAGGATAGAGGATACCAAGAGCTACAGGGATGGGAATCAGGGGAGTGATTATTTTGTGGTACAGAGTTTGTGTTGGGGATGATGAAAAAGTTTTGGGCATAGATAGTGGTGAGAGTTACACAACATTATGAATGTATTCAATGACTTGAATTGTATACTTACAAATGGCTAAAATGATAAACATTATGTTATATATATTTTATCACAATAAAAAAAGAATTACTCTAAAGGTATGGAAATTAAGACAACGTAGGATAAGTGAAACAAAAGACATATTGGCCAGAGGGACAAAATAAAGTATCCTAAGAGACCTACAAATAAGTAATAAGTAAATTAATTTTCAACAAACGTACCAAGGTGATGGAGGAAAGCACTGCATTTTCAACAAATGGTGTTAGAGCATCTGGATATCTTCCTGAGGGGGGATGTACATTAACTTCTAACCTTACCCCACAGCTGTACATGAAAGTTTAAATAGATCATGCATCTAAATGCAAAAGCTAAAATTATAAAACTTCTGTAGGAAAAGACAAGAAGAAAATCTTCATGACTTGGGGTAGGGAAAGCTTTGTTAAATAGAACAGAGAAACCATAGCTATAAAAAATAATCAATGGAACTTCATCAAATTTGTTTTTATGAAAGAAACTTTTTTTTTTTGAGACGGAGTTTCACTCTTTTCACCCAGGCTGTAGTGCAATGGCGCGATCTCGGCTCACCACAACCTCCGCCTCCTGGGTTCAGGCAATTCTCCTGCCTCAGCCTCCTGAGTAGCTGGGATTACAGGCACACACCACTGTGCCCAGCTAATTTTTTGTATTTTTAGTAGAGATGGGGTTTCACTATGTTGACCAGAATGGTCTCAATCTGTTGACCTCGTGATCCACCCGCCTCAGCCTCCCAAAGTGCTGGGATTACAGGCTTGAGCCACCGCGCCCAGCAAGAAACTCTTAAGAAAATGAGAAGGCAAGTCACAGAGTGAAACAAATACTAGTAAGGGACTTGTATTAAGAATTAATTAGGTTACTATAAGGTGAATAAGAAGATAATCCAACAAAATTCAGCTAAATATTTGAACAGACATCTCAAAAGAAGATACACAAATGGATAATAAACACATAGCAAGAGTATCATCATTAGTCATTAGGTAAATGTAAATTAAAACTACAATGAGATGCCAATACATAATGATGATATGGAGCAATTGTACCTCTCACGCATTGTTGATGAAAATGAAAAGCAATACGCCACTTTGACGAACTATGGTATTTTCTTGTAAAGTTAAACGTGGTTACCATACAATCTAGCAATCAAATCCTAGATGCAACGCTCCAGGAGAAATGAAAATATGTCCACATAAACATGTGAATTTAAATATTCTTAGTAACTTATTGATAATAGTTCAGAACTTTAAACAATCTAAATACTCATCAAAAGGTAAATGGACCAGTTACAGTGGCGCACCCCTGTAATCCAAGAACTTTGGCAGGTCGAGGTAGGTGGATCACTTGAGCCAAGGAGTTTGAGACCAGCCTGGGCAACATGGCAAAACCCTGTTTCTACAAAAAACGCACAAAAGATTCGCTGGGCATGGTGGCGTATGCTTGCAGTCCCAGCTATTGGGGAGGCTGAGGTGGATGGGTTGCTTGAGTACAGGAGATAGAGGCTGCAGTGAGCTGAGATAGTGTCACTGCACTCCAGGCTTAGTGATACAGTGAGATCTTGACTCCAAAAAAAAAAAAAAGTAAATGAATAAACGAATTGTGGTGTGTCCATACATAAAAGGAGTGGATTCTTGATAGAGGCAACAGCATATATGACTCTCAAAAACATGTTTCTGTGTGAAAGAAGCCATAGAAGCCATATACAGAGAGTACTTACTTATGATTCCATTAGTATGAAATTTTGGGAAGTCAAAACCAATCTTGGTGATGAGAACATTGACTGAAAATGGGTTCCAGTGAACCTTTTGGGGTGAAAGGAATGCACTATACCTTGATTGTGACAGTAGTTAAACATAGGTACATTTTGTCGTTTATAAATTATACTTCTATAAAGTTGATGTAAAAAAAGAGAGAGAGAGAGAAATGAAAACTCCATGAATCACAAGGCCTGTACTGGTATTTTGGGACTTAGCAAGCAGGCTCTGGAGACATACTACGGGGGTCAGAATCCTGATGTTATGTGGTACTGGAGAGGTTATTTAGCATCTTTGTGCCTTACTTCCTTCATAGGTAAAATAAACATGTTATAATAGTTTTATTAAGATTAAGTTGGTGCTCAGTGATTATAACAGTAACTGACATAGTCAGAATTGAGTAAATACAAACTATAACACTTATTATCAATATATGTAGTATCGGTATTAATAGCTTTTGTTCCCCCCTACTTCTTTTCTGGTGGTGGAACTGTGTCACACATCTTATGATTGAAGAACACACACCCCATGTCACAGTAATTTGGGCTCCTATTAAGTCTGATATTACATATTTTTGGCAGGGACATAAGGAGCTATGTCTGAACAGAGATGACTGAGTATATAGCAGATAGGACAAGAAAGGAAAGCATAATTGTTTCAAATGGTGGGGTGAGCTTCAATCTTGAGATTGTCCCTTTCTTTTTTTTTTTAGGAAGGGAGGAAGGGAGGAAGGCAGGAAGGGAGGAAAGGAGGGAGGAAGGAAGGGAGGGAGGGAGCGAAGGAAGGAGAGAAGGGAAGGAAGGAAATCAAGCAATGAGAGAGACATTGCCGACCTGGATCTGGAGGTCTACAAGTTGATTTCTTTTTTTTCTTTTTTTTTTTTGAGAGAAGGAAAGAACAAAAAGGAGTGAAGGAGAGGAAGAAAGAGAAAGAAAAAGAGGGAGAGAGAATGGAAATGTTGCTTTATTCTAAAAAAATGGGTATTAATAATGGCCAATCAATGTTTCATTTAAACCTATGAGTAGGTGTGATGTGGTATTGACAAGAATGTATATTTTGTGTGTTTAAAGTGGAGAGCTCTATAAATATTTATTAAGTTTGCTTGTTCCGGATCTGAGTTCGAGTCCTTGATATCCTTATTAATTTTCTGTCTCATTGAGTCTAAGTCTCTATGTATCTGGGTGTTAGGATCGTTAGCTCTTGTTGTTGCATTGATCCTTTTAGAGATTGTCCCTTTCTGACCTTCCCAAAGTTAGATGTTTTAGTTCAGCATCTGAGCATCCTGCTCTTCCTCCTAATAAACTAGACATCATTGTGTGCAGTATCACAACAGGAATCTGTTCTCTTAATAACATGGAACACACCTCATCTGACTGCGTCCAGCACTTGCTTCTAAAGGATGCAGTAGTCACAGAGATGCTGAGCTCTGCTATGCTGATGATCAGTAAGATTGACAAAATTCCCTGCAAATAATGAGAAGAAATAAATGACATTTGAAATAAGAGCTGTTATTTTAAATATATAAGCTGAGAACACTTTAGACTCTGTCACCAAGTATGGGAAAACTATACTTTTAGATGGTTCTGTAGCCATCAGATATTGCACAATTTTCATCTTATATCTTTCTGATAAGGTGGAGATAACAAACTCCCAAGTCCATGGGAGCTGGGCAACCATCTTGAACTAAACAGGGAGAAAACTGAGAGTAAAAGCATTCATAGGAGGCATCCATTACTCAGTTCCAGCCGATTGTTTTCATGTGGGAACATGGGTACCATGACGTCTATTTTGTTTTTTTCCCTAAGTAAACTGGATACATGTACTTTTTGTGTTGAAATTTTCCAGTTATGTGTTCACCTGTGTGAGCCAAATAGAACATATACGCAGGCTGAATGTAGCCCACCGATTGCCATTTTGCTCATTTTGCTTTAAGGTAATGTTTGGATTGAGAAGCAACATGGTAGCTTATAATGCCTCGAAAGCTTAAAATATGAAGACAGAAAGATCTGGGTTAAAGTGGGTTCAAGGTCACACTTAACTTTGAACAAATAACTGTGTGTTTGTGAATCTTGGTTTCCCTGCAATACACCCAGAATCTTATATATCTGATATTTGTTGGTAAAACTAAAATGTATGCAGACCCTACTCTATGCAATTTACTGACTCTTTCCATTGAGCAAGGTATATCTGGTCTTGGATTTTGTGGAACTTACATCACTGTAAGGGAGGCAGACAATAACGAGTAATTAGGTAATTATCTACTTAACTAAATTGTGATAAATGCTGTGAAGAAGGACTGGGAGCTCTGTGCTACTATAACGGGGGATCTATGCAGATACGAGAGTAGAGCCATAGTCAGGGAGAACTTTCTTAAAGAAGTGGTACTTCAGTTGAGATTTAAGTATGAGGCTGAGTTAATTGTATAACTGACCCAGGGACCATTCAAAGCTGGAAGATGCTGATCCTATGATCATCTTGGGGCAGTGGCTGCTCGACACATTAAGGGATTCTCTAGGAAGTGGCTGGAGTGTGGAGTAAGCAGGATAAAGTCCTGGAATAATGTTGGAAAGCTGGGTAGGATAGGTGTTACAGAGTTTGGTAAGGCCCTTAAGATTTGGGTCTTAATCATCATATGTTTTACAGAAAGCCATTAAGTAATCACTCTGATTTACATTTTTAAGTGATTACTCTGGTCGCAGTAGAGACAACAGATTGGTCTTCAGGACAGGGGTCAGCCCAAGAGATGTCTGAAGCCCACTGTTCTGGCTCTTTTAGCTTATGATGTTTGGGTTACAACAAGAAATTATTAAGCTGTGTAAGTGAGAACTAGGAAGAGAGAGTTCATGGTTCTGTAGTCACATAACTAATCTTGCAATACCTATCCATGGAGGGCAGGAAATAGCAGAATTTCATATATCTGGAGATTTAACCCTTTCAGTATATACTATTTCTTCCTGATATATACCAACATAATGAACAACAGTATGCTTCTCTCCATTCGGAAATGGGCAAGAATTATAAGGTTGTACCATGTTCTTGGCCAAGTTAGGAGAGGGTTGATTGCTGATGTTGTTTCCTGGCTTTCTTTAGTAATCTACCATGAGTCCAATTTTAGAATTTATCTCAGAAAACATGAAAGGATCCCTGGGATCATTTCACTGAGTGATTGTGAGGATTAAATAAAACCTTGTATTCAGGAATGAACTTCTCATTTCTTTTACCGAGGAAGACCATTTTCTGTGATTCTACTTTATTTCCCTTCTAACAGGTTCAAATATTCTTAAAATTATAGAACCCAAGCATTGAAGATATAGCTTGGGTTAGGAATAAAATGAAACCCCATGACTTGCTTAGGGAACTAGAGGGAAAGGGCTACTGGAGTCACTGACATTGTTAAAAATAATGTCATTGATTACTTGTTAGATAAATACTTTAAATTGTACCAACAATTGCATTTCCCAGTAAAAAGATCTCTCATCTGCTTTAATGAATAAAATTTCTGCAATTATGTGAAATAACATATGTCTTAAACTTCTTAAAATCCTTACTTTATTCAATGGCTTCTAAATACCTTTTCCTACTGTATTTTGATCTTAGTGTTATTGAAAAATCTTTTAGATAATTTTGTTTATTAATGCTGAAAAGGTAAAATTTAATTCAATCCATGTCAATAATAATTGTATTAGCTAAACCTATTGACTATTTAACTGTGCAGGGTACTGTTTTAATTTAAGCAAGCTTCACAACAACCCATGGGGTAAGCGTTCTTATGTTCATTTTCCACATGAGGAAAACCGAGGCCTAGAGAGAATACGATATTAAGCCAAGGTGACAAGCTTATGTGACAGGATTCAAGTCCAGAAAATATGGCTCCTTAATGAGTGCAACAATAATTCCACAATACCCTTCCCTATCGACGGTTCAAATGCTGACACAATTTCAGTTAATAAAATAAAAATTAATGAATCATTGCATCACCAACACAGTTCAGATAAGATTTTACAGATTCATCGTGCAAAATAAGATCACTTACAATGAAAAGAGTTCTACCTAAAACACATATTTCTTCAAGGGAAGGCGTCTGGCAGTAATTGTCTTGATGTCTGTAGCTGAGAATGATGAAAGTAATCCCAGTTATCGCAACCAAGGAACTGATAACGTTCATGGCCATGACACCTTGACCCTGAAAGGTAGTTAAAAAATAAGATAAATAAAATCCAAACCAAAGCCAAAATACCTTATAAGAAATTCTTAGTGCTTTTATCTTTCCAGATACTGCTCAGGGAAGAGTCGGTCCATCAGATCAGTATGATTGTAAGGCTTAATACACTAAATTCTGACTCATTAAAGTCAGAAGATGCACCAAGTTTTAGAATGGGCCAAGGATACTCTATGGCAAATGCTAGAGAAAATGTTCACTTCATCCCAGTGCACCTTCTGTCATAATCTGGAAGCAGTACAGTGTGTTAGCAAATATCTTGGCTTGGAAATGAAACCTCTTTTCAAGTCCAGGTTTCACTAGGACCTTATACAAGCAACCTAATTTTTCAGAATCCCAATTTCTGCCTTTAAAAATGTGAATGTGTCACCTCACTTTTAGGGTAGTATCCATTCATTCATTTATTTCATAAATATTTAATGCACACCAAATACATATGAGTACTGCATTAGGCCCTAGAGACACAAAAATGAGCAAGAGAGGTGACATCCTGCAATAATGTGGTTTACAGTACTTCCCTGGGAGAATTCAAGCAATAACCAACAAAATCATTAATGTATTTAAAGATGCTAACCTGTTCGGACTGCAGTTTAAAGGTATTCTAAATGGGTTCTTTCTTGAACTCAGTGTTTCAATAAAAAAAATTCAGATTGACCCACCCAATTGCATTTATTCATTTCTATTTTTTTGTGGGGCTATGGGTGGGTGGGATATGTATATCCAAGTTCCTTTAATGGAAGGGGGTCATTCAATTTGTTCCTTCATACCCACTCCCAGGACTGATACTGCTCTTTTTTAAAAAAAGAAAGAGAGAGAGAGAGAGAGAGAGAGAGAGAGAGAGAGAGAGAGAGAGAGAGAAAAGCTTCACATTTCCATTCATCAGGTATTTGTGGCACCTTTATTGATTGTGTTATGACTACAGTGGTGGAAAATACAATGATGCATTTACAGAGCCAGTCCTTTCTGGAACAGTCTGTGGCTTCATGTGGCAAACCATGGCAGTGTACTTGTAACTTAATGTTTACCCCAATCCCAGGTTTTTATTGCAAACAGGCACTTTGGCAGCAAATCCACAGGACCATATACACAGGCCATCTCTCTCTTGGTCTTTGGTTCCCTTGTTTTCTCAAGGCTCTCTTTTGGCTCCCCTAGGACATTTGATAGACTAAGATCTCTAGATAATCAATCCCTCACATGTATTGGGCTTTACAAAGAACATGCCCAGCCTAGTCTCTTCTGATTCTCATTATAGTTATGTGATATAGGAAGGACACTTGTTGTTATCCCATTTTACAGATAAATGGAATTCAGGAAGTAAGTGTCTGTGAGCAATCACTTCCACAGTTTGTGGAAGAGCTGTGATGAAAAGCCAGGTCTTCTGATGCCTGGTTCAGAATCCTGCCCCCATCATTTCTCCATCTGCATAGCTCTCAGTGAGTCAGGAGTAGGTTTTCCTTACCAATAGTCTATTTCTTAGCTCTGGAAGGAAGTCAATACAGGGAGAACAGCATTTGGGGCTTTATCTGCATTGTCTGCATAATTTCCTTAAGCAGGGATGGGAGCATTTATCCCCCCTCTCCTCAGAATGTCTCTATTGCTTGTAACTATCCCTAAAGGAAATTAGCAGAAGACCTTAAGAACAGAGTTAAACTGGCTTTCAGAGAAGGCCCACGTCCCCAGGACCTTAAACAAGATCAGAGTGGTTAGAAGAAGTATGAACATTGAAGCATCATCATGCCTTTAATAAGTAATATCTTATTAAATCCTCAAAATAACCCTTAGGAGTAGATACTTTTCCCTTCAGGTTAACACTGAAGTGAGTGGTAGCCTTGGTTCAATCCTAGAACAATCCAGTATTGATGCCCAGATTTTCTTCTTCTAGACCTTGGGCAGGCTCTAAAGAAAAGCTTCAGTTGGTGTTGGAGACAGGTCTAGGATTAGGAGGAAGAATTACTGAGATCTTAGGATTGGTTTTGGTTAGAGCAAGGTTTCTCAACAATGGTACTATAGACTTTTTTGTCGGATAACTTTTGTGTGTGACAGAGACTGTCCTGTGCATTTTAGATGCTTAGAAATGTCCCTGGCCTCTACTCACTAGTTGCCAATAGCACCAGTTGTGATGACCCAAAATGGGATCTTCAGATATTGTCTGATATTTTCTGGATGCTGGGGGTGAGGGGCAGGGAATTACTCCTAATAATGAACACTGAATTAGAGGGATGCAGAATGGTTTCCAATAAGCAACTCTTTTAGTTTACTTGACCAGGGAAGTGGGAACCAGTGTAAGAATGTCAGGCAAATAATGGCTCTGGCAAATAGAAATGATCTGAACTGCAACTTGGATGCATACAAGTTTTCCTGAGAGGTAACTTTATTACTAAAGGCTTTATACACAGAGACAATATAAAAGCAAATAGAATATTTCAAATTACATAAAGTCACAAAAGTGACTCACCTGAGTTTTTGATTTCTCTTTGACTACTGTGAGGTATCCTGTAACCATAAACTGTTAAAGAAGACAAGAGACAAAAGTTAACTGGTGATATGCTTGACCACCTTGCAATGTAATTTCCCTTGGATTCACAAACTATCTGTTTGCAAATCTCCAAGACCATCCGATTTTTCCACCTGAGCATCAGGGAGTAGCGAGGGTCAGCAAAGATAGGGTAGGTTGGAAGAAACATTGTGCTGGGTTTACTCAGCCCTGAACAAGCGCTCTAAGATCCAGAGGAGATGGCTAGATGTTGGGTCCATCTGGGGCTCCAAAAACAGATTTCCTAAGCTCTGGGCCTTGAAGAGAAGAGGAGGGACTGTGCCTGTTCTGAGCAGGTGAAGGGAGACTTTCTCAGGGAAGACCCCTCTAAAGGCTGATAACGGGGGCTGATATCTAGTGTGGTTATAACAGTTACTCATTTCCCATGAGTGTAGAGCCTAGTGCCACCTCAGGAAAAGAACTCTGTCACTCCATGTGGAGCCCCTTCCTTTTTTAATGTTCTGAGGATGGGAACCTCCTCTGTGGGAACTGGTGTTGGACCTTGGGAACATCTGGGTCTTATGGTCCAAGGATCTGCAGCTGACTTGCAGAGATCAGAAAGATACCTTTGATACCTCCCTCCACTTGATTCCCCACACTGGACTGCCGAATCCTATCAACTCTACCTCCGAGTCACTCAGGCTCTCCATCTCTAGCTCCATGGCCACCAAGCTAGTTCAGGGAAACTCTTTCCTCTTCGGCATGATTGCAGCCTCCTCTAATTGGATTCCTCTAGGATTGCTGTTATCATTGAATTAATTTCTCACTTGAAAAACACAATCATACTTCAACAAGTCTTCAAATGTCACTATCCTCTTTATAAACTTTCAGTGGATTTCCCATGCTTTCACACAGAAGTTCCATGTTCTTCACATGACTATGGGAGTTGGCATGACCTGGTTACAGTCTACCTTTATAGCCTCACTTTATGCCATCATGATAGACTCATTGGTCTTCTTTTGGTTACTCTTTCCCACACCAAGCGCTTGACTCATGCTTTATCTTTGCCAGGGAATGCTTTCCTTCCACTTTGCCCAGTGAGCCACTACGTGCAAAGCACTTCCCTGACCTCTGAGGTCAGGTGAGTCCTCTATGAAACCCTCACATGGCACCTAGAATTCTTAGAGTACTTATTACAAGTGTAGGGACAAGTATTTGGGGTTACTTTTGACTTTTTCATGTCTAGTCTCCCAGTTAAATGACAAACTGTCTAAATCTAAAAACAATTCACCACTTCGATCAGAGAGGGACTGTTTTCCAGAATTCTCAGTCTCAGCACCTAGGAGGCTATTGAAGACATGGCATGTGCTCAGTAAATATCTTTAAAGTGAAAAGTAGAGTTTTCAAAAGCAGCCGGCTAGAGCTTTACTTTAATTCTCACATGCAGACGACACAGTCACACTGGGAAAATTCTGTTGTAATACGACAAAGTGAGGGGTTGGTCTGCTTGATTTTCTACAGTACGGCATATATAGTTTGAAAATCATATTGGATATTACACTATTTATATTGGGAAAATGAAAACTCTACTGGTTGTTTCTGAAATGCACATTGTAGAAAAGGCATGAAGTATTTCTGATTATCAAAAAAACTGGATTTTTAATAGTCAGTGATAGTGGCCTAATTTATTCATTATTTTACCTATTTGTTCATTGATTGATTCATTCATTCATTCATGCATACTCTGCCTCAAGCGTGATTCTAGCTTTTCAGAATATAACAACTAAAACAGACAGTGATATGGCTGTCTTCTCAGGGGTGTATGTTAGGAGAAGCTCTAATGAGTCTGCCCTTGAATATTATGGCAAAAAAATTAGGAATCCAGGCTGTGGGGACTAGAGAGAAAGAGCACTGAGTAAGAATAATATTTATGGATACGTCATTACCTAGATGAGTGGCACTCATAAAATTGTCTCTGGGGCTAAGAAGGAGGATGAGTGATAATAATCTTAACAGTTCTCCTTAGGCTTTCAGCATCTGTGACTCCATGAACACTAGCTAGATGTGTTTAAGTTATCCTCAACTTTTGAGCTCAGTTTTCTTATTTGCAAAGGAGAAAGTATGATATTTGCCCATCTAGTCTCCCACGTTGGTAGTGAGAAGCAAATGTCCTACTATACACACAAGGGTTTTGGAAACCTTTAAGCACCCAAGAGTGGTTATTACAATAATGACGGTAGTGCAATGACCGAATGGAGTTGCTTCTTTTGCCCTGAAGTGAACTGCCATTTTTGGTCTCCTGGAGGGCTATATTTATGGAATTCATTACCCTAGGACATGAACCAGTTCAAATCTGTCATTATAGCAATTTCTCAAAAGCTTCTAATCGGCAGTACTTACAATAAGTGCTCCCCAAAATGGATATCCTGAGAGGATAACAAGGGGAAGTCTTTGGGAGAAATGGATGTAATTAAGTAGAAATATTGTTCCAAGGCCCACAATGATTAGAGCAAGGAGGATCTGGGTAGCCTGTGAGGAGAGAAATGAGTACATGAGGTCACAAGTATCCAAGCCTCTTTGGGCCACCCCAGGTCCCTGAGGGTTTGCCTCCATGGCACACTTTTCAATCTATCCAAATGCCTTCCTTTCACATTTGTCAGTCATTCTCAGATTAAGAGACTCAGTTCAGTGTGTTTCCTTCCCACTTTGCTTGCCTGGATCCTTCAGGTTCAAATCCTTCACTCTTATTCTTTATTATTTTCTATCTCCCCTGGTGTTACCAATTAATCTTATATCAGACATATTTGAGTACATGTCTGACTATCCCCAGATTATTTAAGCTTCTTGAGCACAGGGCCTACAGAGTATTCAGCTTTATATTTTTTTCCTTCTGTCTCACCAGTATTCCCAGTTGTCTAAAAGTTTAAAATGTTTGCTGATTTATTGTGGAGAACCTGAGATGAGCTTGCATTCCACCTCCCTTTCATCCAAGGACTCAGCTAGGGATGAGAATGACCTGGTGGGCCTATCAGCTTGCAGGAGTCTACAGGGAAAAGAACAGCAGCAGGGGCTCTTCTCAGGGCAAAATTTCTCTATCAGTCTAGGTTTTGTCCCCAGGCCACACCTCTGGGCCATAGTAATGATTTTTGCTGTTTTACAAAGGATGGGGGTTGTGCATACAGCTCTCCCCTGGGTGCATTTATGATGAAAAACATTTTGTATGTCTTATCATTTGGTTTACTATGAAGCTTTCAGTATGGTTTTTGAAGCACTCCCAATTCCTTTAAGAGCATGAAGTGGAAGTCAAACCTCTCCACTTATGGTTTTTTACCTTCATGGGAGGTGCCACCATACTCTGAGTTCACTTCCTCAGGGAGATATTTCAAAAAGTTATACTAGTTTATTGCTTCCCCTGTGCTGGGATTCAAAGATCAATACTAATTCCTCATGAAAGGTGAAGGGGGAAAAGTAGAATTAACTCCCTCCCTGAAAATCACTAGACGGAGGTATCTCTACAGACATATATGAAAAAATAAACTTCTTTTCTACCCTTTGGGAGGACCATTGATTGGAGAGGACTTACCCCCAACACTCTTGGCTCTCCATTCAGAAAGTCCAGCAGAGAGCTATGAGGTCTGTAGGGAAATGCAGTCAATACAGTTTCGTTTGGTTGTATAGTGATGACATGAGTTGGCTTTTTGTCCTGGGATGTTGACTCCATGATTCAATGGCAGAACTCTAGTCAAAGAAAGAGTGGGCAAACATTGCAGCCCAAATCATGGTCTACCTCACCACCAGAGTGACATGGAGCCCTGAGAAATGAGCCCTTAGCAATCACTCTACTTAGCAGCAGAACCACAGACTCATAGTTGAGTCACAAAGTTTTAGAATTCTAGGGCAGCCCAGCCCTCCATCTTCCTGGTGAAAAGTACCATACCCAAAAGACTTACTCTCTTGTGAAATTGGTTGCAAGCATATGGTAAACACAAAATAGATGGTATATACAAAACAAATCCTTACACATATGTTCATGAGTTATACAGAAACTAAAAGTTATGGGCTATCCCTATGCGATGGGAACTGTAGAAGGTGTACTGTTTGTTTTGACATGCACTAGCATTTGTTCCTTTAACAGTTCTACAATGCTGAAAGTGAGGAACAGCAAGTTTACGTCACCCAAAGACACACGGGACAGGGGAAGGGGCAAACTCAACTTGACCTGTCTGCAAAATCTATGTTTTTTAAACTCAACCATGCTCTGCCCTCCTTCGAAAGGAGTTTCTCACCTTTACTTGATGAATTTTCAAACTAACTGTTAAACTATATGCCTTTGTATTACAGAGATCAGCGGTTAACTTTGAATCTCTATTTTTCCATCTTTATTGAAGTATATTTAACAAATAAAAATTATATATATTTAGGGGGTACTGCATGTTTTGATATACATATACACTCCAAAATGATTACCACAATTCAGCTAATTAACATATCCATCACCTCACATGGTTATCTTTTTTCTGTTTTTATAGTAAGAACATTTAACAATCCTTTCATTTTCAAATTTAAAACAATATCAGTAGTAAAGGTGCTATAGGACCAGACGTAGTTGCTGCTTTATAATAGAGAATATTTTAGCTTTCAGAAAGATAAGCAAAACTAATTATAGTCAAATCCTTCCTGATTTGAACTACACAAATACTAATTAAAACAACAAAAACTGCCTTTAGGAATCTTGCTTTCCATATTGATCCTTTACATTCTTAAATTCATTATAATTTCACCTATGAGATCATGAAGGTAAATTGTTTCATAAAACTAAACCCAATGTATACAAATAATAACGTGAGTATTTCCTGGTTTGCAGCAACCAGGAAATAGCAAGTGTCTCAAGATTAGCACTGATGTCATTTGGACGCAATAATTCTTTGTTGTAGAAAGTTATATATATTTTTTAAACTCTGCTACTCTTCAAGTTTATTTAGGAAGCCTCATATGCACAGAGACTACAAAGTTAGCCTGCAGCCACACTGGAATTTCCATAATTGCCCAAGAAATCGAGTTCAATGAAGAGGCCCACACAGAACATATTACACAAAGAACAGACAAGATAATTGCAGCAATGACTGGGAAGAAAGAATATGCCCATGTGGTACAAAGTGCAGGGGAGATGATCTGAATTACAAAATTGTGTAAGTCAAAATAGACTTAATACCCAAGCAAACACATTATTATATTATTCTTTTTAGCGTGAGCAACATTTGGCTCCAAGCTAGAAGCAGAAAATATGCCACTCAAAGATGGATTATTTGTAACTTACTAAGAAGACTAAGATGTCTTCATTGACTCCTACCATGAAATTATGGAAGAGAACATAGTTTATGTGCCAATGACTAAATATTGTTTTTATTTTATTTCAAATAAATAAATTCAAGACTATATGTAGTCTATTTTTATTTATTTATTTAATTTTGAGCAACGGAGTGTCATTCTTATCACCCATCCTGGAGTGCAATGACACAGTCTTTGCTCACTGCAAACTCCACCTCCCAGGTTAAAGTGATTCTTCTGCCCTAGCCTCCTGAGTAGGTAGAACCACAGATGCATACCACAACGCCCGGCTAAATTTTTTTTTTTTTTTTTTGCATTTTTGGAGAGATGGGGCTTCACCATGTTGGTCAGGCTGGTCTCAAACTCCTGACCTCAGGTGATCCACCCACTTGGGCCTCACAACATGCTGGGATTACAGGCATGAGCTACTACACCTGGCCAAGAAGGCTGTTTTTAAACAATAAAATAAGCACCACTGGTTGGCAGCATAGGTTTGAAGAGATGTGGATTCACATGGTAAGATTATGGGAGGCAGGGACATGCTTGCTATGTGTTCAGAGGTAATCCTGAGCACTTGGGAAACTCTTTGCTGCCTTTCACCTAACAGCTCATGAAAAAGGGCCCAGGAGATCTGTTTTTCAGAGAGTGGCCAGGGCAGAGTAGTTTAATTATGTATAGCCTTTAATTTTTAATTAAAGTATTCTTACAATCCCTAATATGAAATATTTAAGCAATATGAGTGTGAAAATAATATAGAAACAGCATGCAGTCACATGACTTAGCAAATTCACACTAGCATGAGTGCACATTTTCTCTTCTTTGTATCACCTTCTGCTCAGTTTACCCAAATAAGTTTATAAAGTTTATGACCATTTTTGGAAGACCTGCTAAAATTTTACCGACTTGGGCTTTGAGGAAATTATTTTCAAGAGAAATTAAATGATGACTCACAGCAAACAAACACAAAACAGAAGTTTTTTTTAATTGAAAAAAATGTATTTCACAGTGTTTAAAATGGTGGAGATTTCAGGAAAGTCTAATCACACTTGACCATGAGTTCTGGTTACTTTTCCTTTATCCTCTGAGGCCAAGAGTTACTTATATCCAAGACCTTGAAGAACTCTTTTTGTCCTGTTGCATATGATCTTGTGACTGGCTCAAGAAGAATGAACTCTAGAAAATATGTAATTGGTTAGAGTTTTTAAACTTTGATTATGGAGATTAAAAAACATACTCATAATACATTTTCCCCAACTGTTGTATAGTAGTAGTTCTTCCAACTTTGCCATAATATGTAATTGCAGCAATATTAGTTAAAAATAATGCCATTCTCCACTTTGCTAATTATTTTGCTATTTTTAAATGGGATCATAGTTAAATCATAATTCATCCAAATTCTATAAACTTTTTTTTTTTTTGCTGTAGCTTTTGGGGGAAATGAAAATGTTTTAAAATTATAACATAAATAGCTAAGGGGATGTAAGGAAGAGCACAGGAAAGTATTAACAGCACAGAGACGTTCTAGTAAAGTCTTATCACATTAGCAAGGAAACTTGGCTAGGGAGACTCTCTCAGGAGGCAGGTGGCTGTGTTCATGGTAAAACCGAGGGGAGACACGTTCTCATTCTCAGCCCAAGAGTCTATATCATTCATTTTCTATGTCTTTGTTCTTTCATGAGCAGTTTGGCTATGTGATTTCTAAAGCCAACTAACTTCATATTAAGCAATTCTTTACCTGGTCAGATTCCCAGTAGACATCAGCTGATCCCAGATGACCAGAGCGTCCTCAGGAAGGAGACCGTTTATTTAAACACATTTTTTAAATTATAAAAGTTGCCTTCCACATGCACCTCATGAACAATAATTGATTCTTCTTTTTGCCACTTTTTTGGGCCTGGATTATTGTAGCCTGGACCTGAGACACAGCAGGTATGATGTAACATGTCAGCATACTCACCCCAGGGTTGTTGAAGTAGAGCTGTTTCCACCAAAAGACAGAACTGTATGCAGCTAATAAGAGCTCCAGCACAGTGAAGATGAGCATCACCACTAGGACACCCTGCAAATCACGACATGAATGGTTGGCACCCAACACAAGCTGGCCCTTGTGCCTGACTGAGAGGACACAGGGCAATGAGCCTCCAGCAATGCAGAGAAAAGGGGACAGGGAAAATTGCTGAATCCTCTTTTCTGCTTTCTCCTTCAGATTTCTTAATAGAAGAAGGGAAATTAGCAGCGACTGTATCATCTCAGAACTTTGGGATCCCACCTAACAACAGAGGAGAGTAATCTGCCACTTATCTCTGGTTGCTTTTATTATCTTCTTTTTGACTATGGTGCTTTTTATTGTCATGACGATATTTCTAGGTGTGTATTTGATTCTGTGTATCCTGCAGTGGTCTCAGTGCATTCCTTCAGTCTGAAATCTCATGTTCTTATTAAATTCTAAAAAATTTCTAGTTATTTACTCTTGCATGTGTTCTCTCTTCCATAATCTCTTACTGGGACTCATATTAGATATGTGTTGAACCTCTGTACTTCCCTGTATTATCATGCTGTTTAAGCTTTCATCCATCTTTTCAAAATGCACATAATATGTTGTGTTCTGGTGAGTTAATCAAATCTAAATTCCATTTCGCTCTTTGTTTCCTTGAATATATTGAATCTTTTGTTTAACTGATCTGCTCAGTTTTTAATTTCAAAGATAATTTTCATTTTTAAATTATGTGATTTTTATTTCTTTTCTCAAATGCGTGTGTCTTTTTTTAATGTAATTTTTTTCCATTTTGATATCTATTACTTTTATTTTTTATTTTTTTGAGACAGGGTCTCATTCTGTCACCTAGGCTCGAGTGCAATGGTGCGACCTTGGCTCACTGCAACCTCCGCCTCCCCACTTCAAGTGATTCCCCTGCCTCAGCCACCCAAGTAGCTGGGTTTACAGGCACATACCACCACTCCTAACTAATTTTTGTATTTTTAGTAGAGACTGCATTTCATCATGTTGGCCAGGCTGGTGTTGAACTCCTGATGTCAGGTGATCTGCCTGCCTCAGCCTCCCAATGTGCTGGGATTACAGGTGTGAGTCACCATGCCTGGCCTGGTTTATATTACTTTTTAAACATTTTTAATGATTTAAAATGTATTTTCATAATAGCCTTATTCAAATTATTGTATTATCCTCAATTCTTGAGCTTCTAATTTTTATGCTTCCTCATTTGCTGCTGCTTCCCATGTTTTTTTGTGTTCTTGTTATGCTTCTCATAATATTTTGGTTGGTGGATAACTTCAGTATGTAGATGGTGGTAGTGGTGGGGTTCTTTGATAGGTAGGCATTGTATAAGCTGGGTTTATGGACATCTCCTTCTATAGTAATTTTAGATTTGATTCTGCTAGAACCTTAGACCACATATCTGATAGCAGTTTTAAACTTTATCCCTTTATTTGAGGTTCCCTTATGTAATTATGAATTTGGATGGCATGCTTGCACAAAGCTTAGTGAGCTGATGGAAGGTTTTCTTGAAATTCCTTGGGTGGAATTTGCTTTATATGATTTTCACAAATTGAAAAAAATATTCCATCTCAGCTTTCAACATTTTTGCAGGGTACTCAATATGAGCTTTATAGTCCTGCCAAATGTCAAATCTCATCATGGGTGTTAAAAGTGCATGATCCTATCCTCTAACACCTATTCCCATCCAGACTTCCCTGGTTTTTTCGCCTCAGCTCTTGTTTGATGATTTGGCTTTAGAATCCTTCTTAGCTTCTGGAACCTAAGACATCTTTCTTCTTTGATTTGTTCTTCCTTCTGCCCTCCTTCCCTTCTTCATCTAATCTTGGCTATATATTTTTTAATTTTTAAAATTTGTTACTTTTGTCCAGGTAATTGCTGTGTTAATTAACAGAGTAGGCCTTTGGAATCTGCTTAGTCTGGCATGTTGAAACTTCTCTGATGTTGTAGGAAGCTCTTTTAGACTCCAGTTGTTGGAGAATGGGAGGCAGTTTGAGGTAATGAAATTTGTTTTCAAATTAAACCCCCAATATGCCTCTCCCACCCCCATTTCTTTACCCAATATCTGTCCTGCACCACGATTATACTATCTGCTGGGCTTCCTCCAGATGGATCTCTGTGCTCTTCCACTTCCTCTAGCTCCTGAACCAAAGGGGTTGCTTTTGACAATCTCAGAGTCACATGGGCAGACCCACAGGAGTGCAAAAGCTTGCACATGTTTTCTGAGATTTGCGAGACAGATGGATCCAAGGGAATGACAGATACTACGTTGGGTTCCCCATGCTCCTACTAAAAGGATTCATAAAGGAAGAAGTCTTCTTCTTCTTTTTTTTTTTTTTGAGATAGAGTTGTTGCCCAGGCTGGAATGCAATGGTGCTATCTCAGCTCACCGCAACCTCCACCTCCTGGGATCAAGGGATTCTCCTGCCTTGACCTCCCAAGTAGCTAGGATTATAGGCATGTGCCACCAAGCCCAGCTAATTTCGTATTTTTAGTAGAGACAGGGTTTCTCCATGTTTGTCAGGCTGGTCTCAAACTCCTGACCTCAGGTGATCTGCCTGCCTCAGCCTCCCAAAGTGCTGGGATTACAGGCGTGAGCTACTGTGCCCGGCCAAGTCTTTCTTCTTAAAAGGCCATGGGTTTATGGTTTTAGCACCATGATCCTACATTTACAGGATGAAATAAACAAGGCTTGTCACCGCGAACAGGTAGTGATCATCAAGTTTGGGAGAAAGGTGCCAAGAAAATGCTGCCCAGAGAGGTTGACATTTTTTCTAGAAGTCATATCCGTGACAGGCTTTCTCCCTTCCCACTGCACTCTGTCAGCCCTGTTGGACCAAAGTACAAAATAATGAGGTATTTGGGCTTAAGATTCATGTTCTGTGGCTAACATAATGTAGCCTACAGGCTTGCATTTGAAGAGTAAATTGAACACTGCACAGCCTCTGCTAGTCCTCAATTCACTGATGATCAGAAGACAAGCATCTTTAAGGGGTAGGGGCATCCAACCCCTAGAAAAGAACCCAAAAGAGATAATCCCAGATTAAAATAAAATTCAGATGAAGAATATTTCTGCCTGTGATGAGTAGGGAGAAGTCTGTTCAACAAAGGTTGTACTTTAAGAGTTAAATTCATCGAGGTTGGAATGTTTGTGATAAGAAAAACCAGAAGAGTGATAGTCTCCCTGTTGTCCTTGATTTCCTCTTCTGACTTTGCCTGGTACACCCCTCACACCATGCAGTCTGCAGACAGGCCTCTTCCAACCATAGGTGTTTGTTTATTTCTGTCTGTCTCCAGACATTTGGACCAACAGGACCAGAGACTGCCAGAAAAGCAGAGGTTATGCAGAGGGAAGACACTGAGATTTCACACGACAGAATATTCAGTCTGAAGCTACTCACTGTTAAACTGACACTGGTCAGGAGACAATCTCTGATTTCATATACTGGATAATAGTACTCCGAATAAGGCAGTGAGGATAGATACTCCTTTTCTGAGTCACAATGTTGAGAGACAGTCCTCAGGGCTACCACACTGTCAGCAAGGAGGAGGAGGCCTGCCCCTGCAGTAACAGAACTCACTGCATTTGAGGTCAGGCTGCTCAGGTCCTGGAAGAGAAACTCTGCATTGGGTTCTCATCACAGAATCAGCAACCGATGCTATTAGCCCTCTGTCCATTGTACTGCAGTGGTGCTTCCTTGGGTCTGTTTTCTTGTATGGACACAAACTGTGTTTTATTCATCTTTGTATCCCTTGTCACTATTTAGTTAATCATATGATATAATTAGTAAATGCTTATAATATAAGAAAATGCATGGATAATTCTTCCTTAGGGAGAAGGGTTCTGGCCCCTTGACTCTCTGCAGCACTCAAGATAGAGACAGTGCTGTTGTGGTCACTGCCAACATCTCCTGTGACTTCCTCAGTAGCCTTAGAACCATTCTGTTTTATTAAAGCCTTCCAGAATATGGATTTTGGTCCCCTCTGGTAAACCGAATCTGTGAATTTGATTTACATAAAAGAGCAGCTTCAAAAAAAGGTAGAGGCAAACTGGAAAAGTTGGAAAACCTATCTATAGTTCTATGGGAACATAAAATATACTTTCAATTGACAAGCAATATTTGTTCAATATGACAAGCATATGCCTTCGATTTTCCCAAGTGACAGGGCATGAGACAGAGGCACATGGGATTAGACCCTGTGCTTCTCTCTCCAGCCATTCACAAACAGAAATATTATCAGACTATAACCACTTTTCCCACAAACCTTGGAGGGAGAATGGGAGAAAGAAACTATAAAGCCTTTACTTCTCTCCATAGCAACAGCTCTCTCTTCCCTGCCACACACCTGCAGAGGTGATTTAAGGAAAAGCCACATCCTGATTCAAGAAGATACGAGGTCTGACTAGCCACAGATGAGGACACATGGATGGTGTATGAGGCTGGTATATGCTCCTGATCATCGAAGCTGCAGTCTAGAACCCAGGAGTAGGGAAGAGAGTTTTGAAGAGTTCACAGCATTCATTGGTTGGAGTCATAGTTCTGGACTTAGAATTCGAAAACCTCTACTCTTATCCTAGCTCTGTCACTGACTCATCAGTGTGCTTGTGCAAGTCCTTCTTACTCTGGGCTTCAGTTATCTTATTTATAAAATGTGGATGATGAATTGTCTGATCTCAGAAGTGGCTTCCCAAATGCACTGAATAGATGGAAAGGGAAATCTATGCTTGGACTTGACTCCGCATGTGGGACAGAGAACAACATATGGGCCCCATTGCTCCTATGGTAGCTTTGGGAAAAGATACTGCCCATTGGGATTAGTTTTCCCTTCATCCGCTGGAGACTCAGCGCCTGAATTTATATAACTACAGAGCTGGAGTAGAAAAGGGCAAGACAACCATCCTCCCCAGCACACATTCTCTTCCAATAATGCTTAAACAAAGAAGAGCATGTGTGTCTCTGCTAATGCATCATCATGCTATGGGAGAATCCTTTCTCCCAAATTGTAGAAGAGGACTCGGGAGATGGTGTGGTGAATGTGGTTCTCTTGGGCCTGATCCACCTGCAGGTCGGTATTCCAACTTCTCCAGTATGCTTCTGTGTTTTCTCGGAAGCTGCTCCTTTAAGTAAGAAGCCATAAATTGGGTTTCTAAGGAGGGACCAAAGAACATATTCTAGATGCACTTAGGGATATATAATAATTCTAAAGTGGTTGAGGAAGCCAAGGGGATGTTGGCAGTGGCATGAGTGGTATTGTCTCTGTGTTTGGTGCTGCAATCAGTGCTGGCATTGCAGACATTCTGCTCACCCTCACTCCATCACTCTCATTCTCTGCCACGTTACTTTGAAGTGATATTTTTCTCAGACATCCAATTATCAAGAATGGGTTTTTGGATGGAAATAGTCTCCTCCAGCCTAGAAAAAGATGACAGCACCCTCTTCTAAGAGAAGACTGAATGCCTCCCTACCTGATATTTGACTGGATGAGGTTTATTTCAGTTGCTTAAATAGTGGAAATTTGAAAATATATCATGGACTTCTTTCAACTCGTTACCATGGCCATTGAGTAGGGTAAACCAGCTATCCTGGTTTGCCTGGGGAGTAAGGGGTTTTCCAGGATATAGGCTATGTGATCTAGGAGGCAAGAAGTTTGGGCTCTACTCTTAGTTCTACCAATGGAACATCCAGGAGAACCTAGGCTTCCCTATTATAAGCTTTGTCTCCCTAAACTGTAAAATAGGAATTTTTTTTTTTTGAGACAGTTTCACTCTTGTTACCCAAGCTGAGTGCAATGGCACAATCTTGGCTCACTGCAACCTCCACCTCCCGGGTTCAGGCAATTCTCCTGCCTCAGCCTCCTGAGTAGCTGGGATTATCAGCACGCACCACCATGCCCAGCTAATTTTTTGTATTTTTAGTAGAGACGGGGTTTCACCATGTTGACCAGGATGGTCTCGATCTCTTGACCTCGTGATCCACCCGCCTCGGCCTCCCAAAGTGCTGGAATTACAGGCGTGAGCCACCGTGCCTGGCCTATAATAGGAATTTTGAACTAAAAGAATTAACTGTGACATTCCTTCTATTCCAAACAGCTGAGATCCGATGGTCCTTATACTTACAAAGGGCTTAGTTGATTGCTTTCCAGAGATGATTGAGAGAGATCCAGTAACGCCAAACTGCTCAAAAAAGAGAGAAACGATCAGTTCAGTCATCTTGTGGAAATGTGCCCACCATGTCACTATCAATCACCATCAAAAGTGCTGTTGGAAAATTTTTAGAGAGAGAACACTGCAGAAATCGTGTGGGTCCACATTTCTAGAAAGGCCTAGTTTCCACCTGATGTAAGAATGTCTATATCGACTTTTAATGACATGCAGATACATAGAGGGGTTGGATTTGTTTTAGTGGAAATCACCAGGAACTGAGGAGGCCTGGAGAAAAGGTGTACATGGGAATGAGAAGAGTGTTACTACATTACAGGGTTGAAGGAGAGGAGGTTGAGATGGACAAATGACTCAGGTGGATAGAGAGATGGGAACAACCCACAGAAGCACTCAGGAACTAGGCTCTGATGGGACGAGGTATGGAAACACATGGACTGGAAGTTATTGGTGTATGTTGCTTGAGTCAGAATGGGAGTTGAGGAAAGTGGGAAGAATAGGCCCTGACGTGAAGTTTTTATCATAAAGCCCCAAAAGTTCGTAGTTAACCCAGTGGTATTAAAGATCCAGTTGGCAGAGGAAAGGTATTCTGAGAAGCTGAAAAGTTGCTTGTGTGTGGCCTGGATATTGAATAGCCACAGGCAAAGAGGGTCCAGTATGAGCTAACACTGCCTTCTCTAAGGAGAAGTGGGCCCCACTAGTTATAGGGAGAAGGCAAGGACAAATTGTGCTCTAGGGCGGGAGCAGGACCTCCTTACCTGACTGCACATTTTGTGTTCACACAGGAAGTATACTCACACAGAAGTGGTACCTTAGTATATGTCTTCTGCCCAGAATGTTTGCTTTTTCTCCTTTGTATAAGATACTATGTGGAGAAGAAATAACCCCTTGTGGGAAGTGTGAGTTTGCCCTGGCCACTCTCTGCAAAACAGATCTACTAGGCCCTTTTTCATGAGCCATTAGGTGGAAGGCAGCAAAGAGAGTTTCTCAAGTGCTCAGGGTTACCTCTGAACGCGTAGCAAGCATGTTCCTGCCTCCCATGAATCCTACCCTTGTGAATCCAAATCTCTGCAAACATGTGGCATCAACCAGTGGTGCTCAATTTATTGTTTTAAAATGGCCTTCTCACTCTCTACCTGAAAAGTTAATTATTCTCACAATGGAGGAAATCCAATGGCCTCATCCAAGCCCCAAAGAGGGATAATGAAAAAGCATCCACTTTTCCAGAGGTATGCTGTAATGCCAGGTAAAAAATGCTGTGCTGGTATACTCATTGTATTACCATTTCCTCTTGCCCCCTGCCCTGCAGCAAGACAGATCAAGTCTCTCTGCTGCTCTTCCTGAATAGGAGGAATGTGTGTAGGGCAATGATAGAAGGAAAGTTGAGGCCTTGCCTTCTTTTGCCTCCTGGCCTCTTGGAGTCTGAGTCACTCATGACTATGCACCCAGTTAGCATTTATAAAGCATTAGAGACCCCCATTCTACTCACACACAGAGCTCCTAAAAATGGGTACCCAGACATCAAAGTGGTGGAAATTGCTGAATTGAAGTGGGAAGGGTAGGGAGCAAAAACCAAGATGACCCCCAAACTTGATATCATCAGGCAACACAGGATCTGGACAGTCTACAAGAGAGAAGACAGGAAATCTAGAATATACTTCAAACCGATGAAAGTGATTATTTGAATGCACATTGTGAAGTATAAAGAGTATCAAAATACATTATAATTTGTTATATTAAAGAGGAAAAAATGTTACAAGGAGCCAATAGAAATGTTTCTAGAGGAAGTCATACATAGCTAATCTCTTCTGATAGGATTATTATACTAGCAAATCGGGAAGTGATCATATGCACATTTTAACTTTTTCTGAAAAAGATACTTGACAGTTTTTAAATCTATTTCCTTGAAAAGTAGATTAAAAAGTTGTCCAGTGAGGTGGAAATAACCAACTTTTCACAGGAGTGTTAATGAAAGACATTCTCAGTTGAAATTAGATAGAGCAGGTCATCTCTTCTGCTGTAATTCATCTTATTTTGTTTATCATTGGATTTTAATAATAATTATTTCACAAGTGGAGGAACTGGAGTTTTACCTGTTAGCTTGCTCCAAAGCCCATGCTTTTGTTCATAGCTTAATGTATATGCAATTGAAAGATGATACAAACATAGGAAAAATAAAAAAGTCAACCATTCATATCATCAGTAGTTACTGAATACGTGTTGTGTGCCAGGCTCCAGGGAATGACACAAATGAAAATCGCTACCATTGGAGAGCTTATGTATACTATGTTCTTTACAGGCAATTTCCATGGAAGGCAGAATAGAGTTAAGAGCAAAGTGGTAGGACATGAGGCCTGTGAAGTACTGGAGGCATGGGGCAAACTATGTAGGGATATCTAGGCTCTGTTTTACCAAATTTGCTTTTCATTTTGAGCAAAAAAAGAAATCCCACTGGATAATTTGGGGCCAGAAGAATATGTGGTCTAACTTTCATTTTTACAACCGTACCAGCTGTACTAAGAATAGTGAAGAAACAGGGAAGGCAGATCCATCTAAAACTGGGAATGAAGAGGAGTTGGGTATTATAAAAGGGTATTCAAAACCATATGGAGATTAAAGCTCTGGATTTGAGGGATGGCGATCTGGGACACTTGGAAGTCTTACAATTACTCATACGGACAGGGAGAAAATAGGTCATGAGATTAGCCTTCATTATCTCATCTCAAAATATTTGAAAAATGAGCTCAAAGTTAAGAATATCTCATTTAATCATGCTGAGTAAAATCTATATGGCTAAATAGACCGTCTTTACTAAAGACAAAATAAAAAAGACTAACTTGTTCATTGTGAAGCATGCTAGTGGAAAAGATAGAGTGATTTTAGTTTGTAGAAACTGCTGCAGAGGATATAGTCTTCCCTTAAATCGCCATTTTATGTTCCCATTAGCCTGGAATCAGCCAGAAAAGAGTGAAAGAGCTTCCCAGACCCACTGGAGATCTTTAGTCTAGATACATTTACAAAGTATTTTCTCCGTGTTCCCTTTATAATGAGATGGACTTACCCCGAGAACGGTGGCTTCTGTTGGCAGCCCACTCTGCAGGTAATCTTCTTCTCGGTACATGTGTCCAGGTTTCTCTCTTTCAGGGACAGCCATGCCCTTTGGTGTAAAGATGCCAAAAGCCCTCGTGGTTTGGGATTGTAATAGCATGATGCTGATGATGCTGGAAAGGCATCAAAGTAAGTTACTTCCCAAGGTTTGACTTAGACTCAGAAGCTTCCCAGAGACCCTACATTGTAGGAACTTAGGTTTTTTGCCATTACTCAAAGGCCGGTTGTCCCTTAGAAACAAAACAAGACACGATGGGGCGTTATAAAGTGAGCATTCTGGGCACAGTTCATCCATTGTGGTCAAGAGGCATGTCACTGGGAGAGAACTGCACACATTTTGAGGGTTCCCACAATCGAGAGGTGAGCAAATCACATAGAACTTGCTTTGTAGCCCTGAGTGTGTCTATCTCACTCTCCCTCCAATGACCCCTGCTTCCAGCTTCTTTTCCCTATCTCCTGTGTCTCTGCTTCACCTGTGCTACCTTCCCATACCAGAATTACACTTTTATTCTACACTTGCACCGATCAGTCTTCTACTCCAATCTTCATTTTATCTTCATAAAAATGTTGGTGGTGAGCTGGGTGCAATAGCTCACACTTGTAATCCCAGCACCTTGGGAGGCCAAGGCAGGTGGATCACCTGAGGTCAGGAGTTTGAGACCAGCCTGACCAACATGGAGAAACCCTGTCTCTGCTAAAACTCTAAAATTAGCCAGGTGTGGTGTTGCATGCCTGTAATCCCAGCTACTTGGGAGAATGAGGCTGGAGAATCACTTGAATCCAGGAGGCAGAGGTTGTGGTGAGCCAAGATCACAGCACTGTACTTCAGCCCGGCACCTGGCAACAGAACAAGACTATCTCAAAACAAAACAAACAATAAAAAAAACTCTGTCTCAAAAAAAAAAAAATATTTGGGATGAATGCTGTTCCACTTTCCTTTTCTGTAGGAAGATGGCCTGTCCCATCCCAAATCTTCCTCCTTGCTTTCATTGGCTTAGTAATTAGTAATGTAAACATTTATTTAACTCCTGCTGACTTCCAGAAATTAGACCATTGCAACTCTAATCCTTATAACAACCCTGTCACTTACATGTCATTACATCAATTTTATACATTAGAAACCTAGGGCTGAAAAGTTCAAGTGATTTTCATGGAATAAAATAGTCACATAAAGCACTCAGCCTGGCACATAGAATGTGTTCGATATGTGATAGCAAATATTAACAGCCTGCGTTTACATGATGGGATTGAGACTTATCTGGCTCAGAGGCTTGTGATATTTTTCTCTATGCCATGTCCATTCTCCTCATCTTCCTCTTGCTTCCTCTCTTCCTTCCTCACATTTCCAGTTCCCTTGTAGATTCCAGGAGCAAGTTGTCTGCCACTGCCAACTCAGCAGCATTGCTGGGCCTCTGTGGTGTCAGCAGCAGGGCTCAGCCCCTGAAATGTTGCCCAGATTTGTTTTCAGCTCAGCATTCTTCCTACTGAAGGCCAGAGTTTAGATAAAGGCTTGTGATCCTTGAAAGGTGCCACAGCTCTGCTGCCTGACGTTTTGCCTCAATGTGTTGGTGCTTTAGGAATGGTGGCTGGGCACGGTGGCTCATGCCTGTAATCCCAGCACTTTGGGAGGCTGAAGCGGGTGGATCACAAGGTCAAGAGATTGAGATCATCCTGGTCACCATGGTGAAACCCCGTCTCTACCAAAAATACAAAAATTAGCTGGGCATAGTGGCACATGCCTGTAATCCCAGCTACTTGGGAGGCTGAGGCAGGAGAATTGCTTGAATTTAGGAGGCGGAGATTGCGGTGAGCCGAGATCGCACCACTGCACTCCAGCCTGGGTAACAAGAGCGAAACTCCGTCTCAAAAAAACAAAAAACAACAAAAAAACGGGAATGGTTCTGGGGTCTCTTGGGAGAAGTGGATAACGTGTAAAGATTGGAAATGACACCTAGAATCTCTTTACGAGAGGGAGATGGAAAAGTGCGCTGGGATGGGAATCCAATGCCTCGGCGTCTAGTTGCACATCTGAGCATGTGACTTGGAGTCCAGTCCTGTGTTCAGCTCCCATATCCACCAATGAATGCTAAACTCACCCTGGGCAAGGTATTTCATCACTTCATAGATTTGTGGCATGGGTTAGATAAGACGGCACATATAATGGGCTCAACATAGAGCGAGGCATGTGATAAACTCACAAAACATATCAGTTACATCCAATACTCATGGGAAGCCCAGTTCTGATATTGATGAGCTGGCCATGGATAGGATATTTCCCTTTATTCATCCTCAGTTTCCCTATCTGTAAAATAGAGATAATGACACTATCCTGAAGGTCTCTTGTGAGGATGTGAATAACATATGTGAGTGCCTTTTGTTGTAACTCTTTGAGTTTTATCAGGTGTTCTATAATAGTCAATGTTGGGACCTCTATTTTATTTCTCCTCCTAGATCTGTGCCTTAGTTTCTCATGCTCTCCAGGCACCAAGTAGCTTATCTGAAAAGTTATTAAACCTAAAGTTCTCTTTGTTTAAGGAGAGAATTTTCATTTCTTGGAATCTGGAAATCTGGGTGGAAGTATGGGTGAGGTTATCCGTCCTGTGAAAGAAATAATGTTGATGCTAAATCCTTGCAGTGGAGCCAGGGTGAGCCTTCCAAACAGTATATTTAAATAAATGGATGTCTCTAGATTCATTTAATCAGCATATCTTTAGAGCCAGAGAAGTAGAAAAAAATCTCAATCCTAGAAAGATTCTAGGTTTCAGAATCAAACAGTAGTTCTGATAAAATGATAATCATTGCTAACATTGATTGAGCATGAACTATGAATGTGGAAAGTGATAATCACTGCTAACATCAACTGGGCATGAACTACACATGTGACATTCTATTAAGAGTGTTGTGACTTTCTCATTTATTCTACACAGTGACTCTCAGAGATGGGTGCTGTTGTTACTTGAACCCTGAAGATCAGAAAAATGAGGCTTGGAGCAGTGTAATAGCTTGCATAAGATTGCCTGCCTAGCAGGTAGTAGAGGCAAGATTTGGGCATGGGCCATCTAACACCAGAGTTCTTCTATATCCCTGTCAGTCTGTGCTTGCCCAGCTAGCTACGCCTGATTCTCATCCTCTCTGTTCTTCCTCCCTTATTGTTGAAGCACTGGCTGTTGCTCATCAGTTCCATATCCTCCCCCAGGAACATTGCTAACCTTAGGGAATAGAGGTTGAAGATTTCTATTTCCGAAATTGTTTTCATGTTGTAGAAACTTGGCTTCTACCTTGCCCCTTGTGGTTCAATAGCCCAAATATGCCAACTAGACTCCTTCCTCTAGTCTTTGTAACCCTTTAGCTCTGGGTTCCTTTCTTTAGTTTTTAGATCCCATAATTTTTAGATCAAGCAGAAAATGCTTGATTCTCAGTTGAAGCTCACACTTTAAAGTTTAATGGATACTTTCAGACTATAGCCTATCTATCTCATACCATGAACATTTATTTTCCTTTGTTATTTCTTTCTTCCTTCCTTTCTTTTTCTTTTTTTTTTTTTTGAGACAGAGTCTCACTTTGTCACCAAGGCTGGAGTACAGTGGCTCGATCTCGGCTCACTGCAACCTCCACATCCCAGTTCAAGCGATTCTCCTGCCTCAGCCTCCCGAGTAGCTGGGACCACAGGTGCATGCCACCACACCTGGCTAATTTTTGTATTTTTAGTAGAGACGGTGTTTCACCATGTTGGTCAGACTCGTCTCAAACTCCTGATCCCGTGATCTGCCTGTCTTGGCCTCCCAAAGTGCTGGGATTATAGGCATGATCCTTGTTATTTCTTAACTGTTTGTTCTGTTTGAAAAAGTGCATAAACCATTCAGGACATAGGCATAGGCAAGGACTTCGTGACTAAAACACCAAAAGCATTGGCAGCAAAAGCCAAAATAGACAAATGGGATCTAATTAAACTCCAGAGCTTCTGCACAGCAAAAGAAACAATCATTAGAGTGAACCAGCAATCAACAGAATGGGAAAATTTTTTTGCAATCTACCCATCTGACAAAGGGCTAATATTCAGAAACTACAAAGAACTAAAACAGATTTATAAGAAAAAACAAACAAACCCATTCAAAAATGGGCAAAGGATATGAGCAGACACTTTTCAAAACAGGACATATATGAGGCCAACAAATATATGAAAAAATGCTCATCATCACTGGTCATTAGAGAAATGCAAATCAAAACCACATTGAGATACCATCTCATGCCCATTAGAATGTCAATCACTAAAAATCTGGAGATAACAGATGCTGGAGAGAATGTGGAGAAATAGGAACACTTTTACACTGTTGGGAGTGTAAATTAGTTCAACCATTATGGAAGACAGTGTGGTAATTAGTTAGACAGTGTGATTAGACAGTGTGTAAATTAGTTCAACCATTATGGAAGACAGTGTGGTCAAATAGAAATACCATTTGACCCAGCAATCCCATTACTGGGTATATACCCAGTGGATTATAAATAATTCTATTATAAAGACACATGTACACCTATGTTCATTGTGGCACTGTTTATGACAGCAAAGACCTGGAACCAACCAAAATGCCCATCAGTGATAGACTGGATGAGGAAAATGTGGTGCATATATACCATGGAATACTACGCAGCCATAAAAACTATCAGTTCATGTCCTTTCTTGGGACATAGATGAATCTGGAAACCATCATTCTCAGCAAACTGGCACAAGGACAGAAAATCAAGCACCACATGTTCTCACTCATAGGCAGGTGTTGAACAATGAGAACACATGGACACAGGGAGGGGAGCATCACACACTGGGGTCTGTTAGGGGCAGTGGGGAGGGACAGCAGGGCATGGGGAGGTTGGGGAGAAATAACATGGGAAGAAATGACAAATACAGGTGACGAGCAGATGGAGGCAGCAAACCACCTTGCCATATACGTACCTGTGCAACAACTCTGCAAGATCTGCACCTGTACCCTAAACCTAAAGTACAACAAAAAATAAATGAAAAAAGCAAGAGTGCATAAAATACTACCATTACAAGGGAATCAAATTTGAAGAAGAAAACAGATAAGCTTCTTAACTTTCAACTGCCACCCGATTACTCATTTCATACACACGTATTCTTTACATTCTCTCTTCCTCTCTGTCACTTTGTCTCTCTCCTCTTTATATATGTTCACAGACATTCAGAACTCTACAGAAATAGTCATTCTATCCATGCCAACTATAACTGTTCTTTTTGCACTTAATATTATTCTGCAGACATATTTGACTAAGAAATAGAAATAATAGAAATCCTACATTTAAAAGCAAATGATAAATTCTGATACATGCCACAACATGGATGAACCTTGAAGACAACATGGCAAGTGAAATAATCCCGTCACAAAAGGACAAAGATTGCATGATTCTACTTACTTGAGGCACCTACAATAGTCAAATGCACAGAAAGTAGAATGGTGGTTGCCAGGGGCTGCGGAGAGAGGGCAATGGAAAGCTATTGTTTAATGGCCATGGAGTTCCAGTTTGGGAAGACTAGAAAGTTCTGGAGTTGGGTGAGGGTTGCACAATGGTGTGAATGTACTTAATGCCACAAAATGGTACACGTGAAAATGGTCAAAAGGCTACAATTATTTTAAGTATATTTTACTACAATAGAAAAGCCAAATGGTATATTGACATAAATGGATGTCTCTAGATTCATTTAACCAATCACATATTCATGACTATTTAGGTGATTTCTACTTTTTCTTTTTGCCACTATGAACAATGCCATAATGAACATCGTTGCGCTTTTGTGATGTCTCCTGCATTTAATTATCTCAGAGTGACATATGGAAGTGCATGCATTACATTTAAAGCTATGATATTTAAATTTTGACACACATTGCTACTTTTAGGAGGATCCTATATAACCAAGATTCTTTATGTTTCACAAGAAGTCTCCAGGCTGATGCTATCATCTCCAAACACCACAGGCTGAGAGGATGCTTTGTCCTTCCACATTTGCTTTGTGGAGATAGACAAGTGGGACCCACAACTTCCAAGATGACTCAAATCCTTGCTTTGAGGATAAATCATGGCATGGAGGTCAACAGCTCTGCCCAGCAATTTTCCGTATTACGGAATTAGAGTAGGACAATGAGGTTCTAATGCAGGATTCAGTCTAATTGCACAGTATTTGTTGAGAGTATACTCTGTGTAAGACTAAGTGACACACGAGAAGAACGCAGAGCATCGCAGAAAATGACCTCAAATCTTGAGGGAAACCTAAGAATGGTTACCCAACTTTCTTATTTGGCACGTGAATAAACTGAGACCCAAAAAGGAGACCAAGCTGATGCTCCAACTCACTCAGGTTGTAAGATTCAGAGACAGGATTATAACCCAATTCCCCAGCTGTCTTTTCAGAAGCACATAATCTCCCCCAAAAGTCATGATTTAAACCAAGGTGCCTACCTGTTCTCACAGCCTGCTCCCTTGTGCTGTGGCTGGTGGGTCAGCTCACCTCTGTGGAGCACTCATTCAGCTGGATCTTCCCACTGGCTATTCCTGCCAGACAGATCTGGCTGCTCTGCTCTCCTGCCTCTGAGACTTCCTGTCCCTTCCTCAGCGCAGTGTTTATTATTACACAGGATATGAATTTTGCTGTAGTTACAGACTCTTGCTATATAAAAAGTGCCTCTGCTTCCTCTTTCTAAATTCTGAGGTTTGGAAAAATGACACAAGATAGAAGTGACACATGAGAAAAAAAACCATGTGCAGACTAGTGATTTGTACAGTCCCAGTTAGAAGTAATTTTCCCTTCTTCTACATAGAGTTATGTAAGTCATCTAGTTTTGCTTAGTCTGAGTTTCTTGTCTACTAAATGGGGGATGGATAATAATAATTCCACTTTGTGGCTGTTGGGAGAATTAAAGAAAAAGATGTAAAGAGTTTACAAAATGTAGACACTCAATAAATATTGATAATAGTAGTGTTAAGTTTGAATTTTGGAGAATTTATTTATTCTCTCACTTTCCAGGCTCTTGGTAAACTGAAAGCAACCTATGGAAAATTCAGTGCCTCCTTGTTGCTTCTTTTGGGTGTCTTCATTCTCTGTCTTTGGCCTCATGCTCAGGGAAGTCTAGGCACATCTTGGGAAAGATGCCAGTGGACTGGAGTCAGAGGCGGACCCATCAGGCTCCAAACAAGCTCATATTTGGGAAGTATTTGTTGTTGAGGGGATACTGTTGCCACTTTCACATGCCTTTTTCACATGCCTTTTAAGGCTTCTTGTAGAACAGCCACTGCTCAGAGGGGAGGGTTTAAGATGGCTCTGGGATGTGCAGCAGCTGGCGACACATGGTCCATATATGTTGTCTCAATTTCCTGAAGGGTGGCAAGGCTGTCTCCTAAGAGAGGAACATACCTAAACCAGGGAGGTTTAAATAACTCATAGAGTACTTGGAGAGTATTTTAGTCCCGTCCTTTTATTTTCCAAATAAGGTGATACTGCTTAAGGAATCTGCCCCAACTCATTGAGGTCTGGGCTTGCTTCACGGCAGCAGTCTGCCATTTGGTTAACATCTTTTTTTTTTTTTTGAAATGGAGTTTCACTCTTGTTGCCCAGGCTGGAGTGCAATGGTGCAACCTCGGCTCACTGTAACCTCCACCTCCCAGGTTCAAGTGATTCTCCTGCCTCAGTGCCACAAGTAGCTAACTGCAGGTGCCCACCACTATGCCCGGCTAATTTTTCTATTTTTAGTAAAAATGGGATTTCACCATGTTGGTCAGGCTGGTCTTGAACTCCTGACCTCAGGTGATCCACCCACCTCAGCCTCCCAAAGTGCTGGGATTACAGGTGTGAGCAACCGTGTCCCGCTTGGTCAACATCTTAACACCCACAACCAACATTGTCTTTGCTTAAGAAATGCCAGATATAGGTGAAGGGGAGGAAGGCAGCAAATCACGCTGCCATGTGTGTACCTATGCAAAAATCTTGCATGTTCTTCACATGCACCCCAAAACCTAAAAGGCAATTAAAAAAAAAAAAAGCATCCACAGTCCAGACCTTCCTCTGGGTGTGTGACCTGCTTTGACCAGACTGTCAAAGAACCTTAGTCATTTGGGCTTCTCTCACACTTCTTCTGAGCCTGAGAAGAAGTTTGTGAGAAAATCAGTTAAATATCCAGTTCGTTTTCTCATAAATAAAATTTGAAAAAAGATTTTTCAGAGTTGTGGTGAGGATTAGGTGAAATAACATAAAAGTGCCCGCCATAGAGCCAACAGGTATTAACCATTGAAAAAACTGCTATTTCTTGTCTAACATCTTCTTCCATCCTCTTTAGAGAAAAGTGTATTTTTTCTCTGGCTTGATCTGTGATCTCTACGTGTAATCTATGTTTACTCTAAATTCATGCTCCTGGCCATTGACGGGAATCTCCTCAGCCCTTTGCAAACTGTCCTGGTGCTCTAGACAGGCAAGTGACTCACAGCGCTAGCCTACTTCAAGGGAACAATCTCCCCACTATCCCCAAGCAGACCATGAAGCTAGTAAAGTGGAAGTGCATCTCATATCTCAGAGGACTCTGCCAGCCTTGGACAGAAGTAACTGTGTTTTTCTCTAGCAGTGGAGATGACTGGCTGGGGCTAGGGTACAAGGTCTGGTTGTCCAGAGAGAGATTCCTTAGAGCAGCAATACAGATCTCCTTGGCATCTGACTTGGTTACTGGCTGCACTCACAGAATTATCTTCCTGTTTCTTAGAATCTCATATCATGTCAGCAGAACGAGAGTGAAAGGATTTTTTCCTCCAACTTCAGCATTTTACAGGTGGTGGAAACTAAAGGCCAGAAATTGCTTAGGGAGTTTGCAGTGACTGGGGTGGTGGTCGATTCATGCAGTTTCTATCTCTACAATATTTAATTGTTTTCTTCATGCCTTTACAGTTCTTTAACACACAGGCAATGACTCTTTCTAGCAAGTATTCTCTGCTACAAAGTAGAAGGTTTCTGTCTTTTGGCTGATAACCTAAATTACAGAGAGGTTAAGTAACTTACCCCGAGTCACACAAACTAGTAATCAGCGAAGCCTAGATTTGAATCCAGGTAATCTTACTTCAGGGGCTGTGCTCTTAACTGCAATATTATTGATTTCAGGAACTTCCTTTACTGGTCATCTGGGTTTGAACAATAAACCCCCAAATCTAGTATAAGACCCTTCCTTCCAAGTGAAATACAAACAAATGATTATTTCCTGGTGCCCTTGGTGTCAGAGTAAACCAGAATTGCTGGGACTGACCATTCAGTGATGATGAATGGGGCAAAAGAATGCAATTGCCTCAGATGGGGATGAGGCTGAGCATCTCTGGCTTTGTGTAACTGGAGGCTACACAGGACGATGGACATGATGGGATGACTAAGCACCGGGATCTCTTTCTACACCATCCTCAGCATCTCTGCCAGGTTTCTGCCTTTCTTGGTCTCTGCCTCGGCTGATGTTGCCGTGCACAGAGCAGTCCTCTCATGGTACTTCACAGAAAATATCCTTACTGAAAAGGTGTAGGGCACAGCATTCCTTTAAGAAATTCCACATGAAGAATATTCCTCACTTCTCATTGAAATACCAAAGTTTGAGTGCCTTTTCTGTGCCAGGCTGTGTTCTAGGTGCTTGGATTGTATCCATGAAAAAAACAGACAAAATCACCTTCCTTTGTGGGGTTTACATTCTCCTGGGATATTAAAATAGAACAGCAAGGAAGCATACTACATAATCCTAGTAATAAGTCTAGCAAGAAGATGAATAGACCAATGGAACAGAACTGATGTTAAAAATAGCATTTTAAATGGCTCTCATGGGGTGAATAAGCTTTAACATTCTGAAATGAAGGGAGTTTTCCCTTATCCCCCTCCCAGGATGTGCGATGGGGTGTGGCTCACTTATTTGGTGCCCCACAGCTCATACCCCTAAGGAAGCATGCACACGGGCAGGTCATGGGGAGTGTAGGCTCCAACTCCATGGCAGCATCCAGGGTTGAGTGTTCACAGCTCCTGAAGCTCAAGTGGGCATGTGTTACCATGTGCTCTTTCAGGTTAGCTGTTCGCAGGTAGCTTGTTTTAATCAGCTCAATTAGACCCCTCTGCCTTATCGCAAGGACAGAGATCTTTCTGTATCCCAAGGTCCTTGCCCTGGTGTACAAGAAAAATCAGATCACATGTGGGCTTGGAGAATGAGTGCAAGGTTTTATTGAGTGGTGACAGTGGCTATCAACAGGTGGATGGGGAGCCAGAAGTGGGATGGACTGGGAAGGTGGTCTTCCCCTGGTGTCTGACCACTCAGCAGCCTGGCCCTCCTCCAACCATCCTTGACCAAATTTCCTTTGGCATTAGCTTCGTTCCGCCAATTCTATCAATGGTCTGCCAGCATCTGTTGGTGTGTTCTTCTGTTGGTATGTTCTTCTGCCAGTGTGTTCCTCTCAATGTCCAGCCACTTGTATATGTATGCTCGCTGGGGTCTCAGGGTTTTTATAGGCACAGGAGGAGAGGGGATATGGCCGGCTTGGAAATGCAACATTTGGGCATGAAAACAAGAGTGCCTGTTCTCACCTAGGTTCATGGGCACAGGCCCAAAGTTCCCTTACCAGGGACCTGACCCTTCTCTACCCAGTACTTCCCTACCCCTCTCCCATATCAATATGTTGATGGATTTATTTAAAAATTTTTTGTCTAGCCTAATGTGGAAATCCTGAAGCTTTTCTGAATATCAGTCTGAAGATGCAAATGATAGACAGTTAATGCTTGTAAGACCCATAGCTATGGAGGCATGCTTAACCCAAATCATGAATTTTGCATATTCATCCTCAAAGGCCCATCTAAGAATGGTGACAGTGGCAAATGAGAGAAAAAAGGAGAAAAAGAACAATAAAAAGGGCAAAGACAAAGATACCTATTATGTATTTAGGGGCTCAGAAAACAATACCCCAAAATGAATGCCTCAGAAGCGGAAGTTTTTCTCTGACCTTCTTGGGCCCTCCTGTCTCTCAATCTTATTTTCCTCTGAGGCTAGCTGCAGAAACAAGAATCCTCCCCAAAGTGGGTCATAGAAACCAGAACCGCTCCCCCCAAAGCCAGCCATAAAACCTAAAAGCATTATCCTAACTCTCCTTCCACTCTATCTGTGTAAAAACTGGCCATAAAGAAATCATCTGAGCTACTTTGTTTAACTGTAGGTCATAAGATTCTCATTCCAGAGATCGTCCTGTCCCATGCCCAAAAGGAAGGAATGCAGCACAGAGAGGGCAAAAAAAAAAAAACACTAGAAAGATGGGCCTTGCTGGGTTTCCCACTCAGTCTATCAGCATTAGATTATATCCGGTCATATTTCTACAGGGTGCCCTGACTTTGTTGAACCTAAACCTACAAATGGACAATTTCCCCTGTATTTTTTGGGTCTTCATTCTGAAGGCCCTCATGTCTGTATGTTGAGTAATTTTTATGCCTTTTCTCTAGTTAATCTGCCTTTTGCAAGTTGACTTTTCAGGGAATCTTCAGATGGCCAAGGGCAAAGCTCCCCCTTAACCCCTACGGTATTCTTGCCATTGTCAAAGGAAGTCATCTTCCTTCATAAGGAGCAAGACATTGCCGAGCTTGAAATTTCAGCAAGGATAAATCGTGATCA